TATATAATTATTTACTTAATGATATTAATAGTTACATAAAAATTAAACTTTAAGCTCAAATAACTTGTAAACTAATAGATTTAGCGAAAAATTATAAGAGACCTTTTTTGTAGAGCGTTAAATTCTCCATGAAAATATGTATGATTCATCATGATAGATCTATTTATTCCTGAATAATACAATTCTAAATAACGAAGGAAATTTATCTCATATTATTTCCATAAGAAACTTAGGTTGGAATGCGGACTATCTTAGAGTTGATATTAAGAGCTCAAATTTTCTGAGAATTATTTTTTATAGATTTGGAAGCTTTTGAGCCACTGGGAGCCAAGAAATTTGAAAACACCCCTGTTAAGGACCACTCTAATGTATATTATATGTATTTGATAAATTATTTATCATAAAATTGATGTCAAACAGCTGCTTTTTTATTACTTTTCTGTTTTCTGCACACTTAAAAGTAAGAATACAAAATTTATCGGCATCTGTAAATTGTTTTAAGATCACAGATCAATTTTTAGTATTAATAATATATTGTAAAGTAATATAACGTGTAATAAATATTAAAATAATTATTTTTTGTTCATCCTTCTGATGTTAATTTTTGTTAAATAAATATATCATGAAGTATAAAATAATATATTTTCTATTTCTATCTTTTTATCTCATTATTAACATTTATGCGAATGGTTAGGATCAATCATTCATAAATTCGTTCCATTCAATGACCACATAGTTTCCTTAACTCAAGCCAGTTGTCATAAAGTTCCATTAATTCCTGCAATCAGTATCATCGATGACGCAAAACTCTTTAGTGATTTATGTCATCGGCACGCGCCAACCAATGACAATCGTTCTCATTATTTATACAATAATATTCCAAACGTACAACGCAATAAAAAACAATAAAGTTTAACGATCAGTAATTACCTAAAAGAAAAACCCAGGATTTTTCACAAATGGAAAAAATATTAACGATTGTATCACATTGATATATCTCAAGATGATTAATATCGATTAACCAGTTAAGTGTGTTTGACGACTATATCCGTCATGGAAGAATGGCAGAATTTTGTGTTTTCACGGCTATATCCGTCATGCGTCAAATTTTCATACAATTTGATATTTAAATTGTAATTCTGACGAAAACTTAATTATATTCGTAAATATTAATATGTTTAGAATGTTTAGGGGTCAGGACGAAGTGAAAT